TATTCCAATTATATTAGAGTAGGGGAGGGAGAGACCAGCCAGCATCTCTCCTGCAAGTGCAGTTTCTGCCTTGACCAGTGGTGGGCTCATGCTGGTGGCAAGCAGGATTTCCTCGTCTGAAGCTGCAGATATTTATATTTTTGCTCTGTAAGTCTCTAACCACTGCAGCGAGATCAACGGTTAATCTGGCCTTTTAAAGTCAAGCTCTGGGCAGGGCAAAAGCTTGCTTCGGTTTTCTGAATGTGTTGCTGGAACTTGCCTATCGCACAGAGGCGAGGTAGTGCTTTTAAAATGGACTTAAAAGCAAAAGTGCAGCTCGCAGGCGAGGGGCCAGTGTAGCATGTGTCTGTGGTTGCAGAATTTCAGGTGGCACAAACCTTTGTGGGACCTGTCCCCCTCCTGCCTCTTGCAGGTTTTCCCCTTTGCATTTCTGAAAGCGAAGTAATATTGCAGGTTTCAGCATCCTGAGGGGATAGGCAGGGGGTGCAATAGGCTCAGTTTAACAAAACTAGCATGTAAAAGAGGAACTGTTGGTCAGACTCACGGTTTTGGTAACCAGCTTTAATACCTGTCCATGAAAACTTGAACCAAGCTTTTTGAGAAGTATCAGATATAAACGCGAATCTTCCCTACCTAGCTTTAGCTCTTGGGTTCAGCGACGGGGGCCGTGGCTTTGGCTTTGCTGGGCTGCACGGCGGAGGCTGGCGGATGCGCTGAGGCCGGCGGCCGCTGAGCGGCAGCGCTGCCCGGGGCACGGGAAGCGCCGGAGCGAGCTCCGCTTCCCGGCCATCCAGCCCGGAGCCGCAGCCTGGGCGCCGCATCGGAGCGCGCTGGCCATGGGGTCCCCTTTCCCTGCGTCGCATCTCAGGGCGTTTCCATAAAACAGACAAACCAAAGCGTTCTCCCGGCCAAATGGGTTGAACTGGACTGCATTTTAGTCTAGCTTAAAGTAAGAAATTGCAGGAATGGACCTGAAGGAGTTTGCTCCTGAGGGTTAATCTCTGCTTAAAACTGCTCTCATTTGGCTAATTCTGCATCCCCTTCTAGCCAGGTTAGCCGCGGACTTGCTGCAGGGAGCAGGGCTGTGGTGCCTCCCCATTAACCAGGAATTGCAGCCCCTCAGTTACCCCGTGGCGGCAGGGCCAGCCCCAAGGTGCCGTTGCAGCCGCGTCTGCCGCGGGGAGAGACTCGGCCCGAGACAGCGGAGCATCCATCCCGGGCTGCATCCCAACGGGCATCGCATGGCTGTGCTGTAGGTGGGAGCCTTATTGGGGAGAAAAAACACCCCCGTGTGCCGATCCTCGGGGATGCAGCTGCACAAGGGTTTAATTAACCGGCACATGGAGAGCTAGGGCTGGACCTGCTCGGAGCCACCACGACAGCCTGACCTGCTGCCTGTTGTTGTTCCAGTTGCCTGTTGTTGTTCCAGTTGGGGGCTCTTCCTTTCCCTCCCCCTTCCTCCTCCGTTGTGCTTAATCAGTAACCGGCTTCATCCCAGTTTCTAGCGAAGCGCCGGGCGCGCGGGACCCGCGTGGGCCGCGGAGCCGTCGCCGCCACCTGATGTTTTTGTCCTCGTGCCCTTTGTCTGGGCTGCACCGGCAACAAAGGCGGCGCAAACAGCAGCCGGGCCGGGGAGCCTCGCAAGGCCGTGTTGGGTCTTTGTGTTTTGTTTTGGGGTTTTTTTATTCCTTCTCCTTGATATGTGGGCTGAGCCTTGAACATGATTTTGTGTGTGGCTTTTTGTCTTTTAGTGGAGGGTGGAGTCGAAGAAATACGTGCAGGCAAAAATAGGTGACTGCAGCATCCCCTGCGAGCGCCGGAGGTGCCCAGGGTGCTTGCGGGCCCTTGTGAAACACTTTCACCTTTATCTTTGGGTGCTGGGGGAGCACATAGGGACCCCTGAGCATCGAGATGCGCCACGGCCGACCCTGGGAACAAAGGATCCTCCCGAACCCAAACGTGTTTGTGTTCCTCACGGCCGCTTCCCGTGGGCCGGCGAGCGGAAGCGGCGCCGCTGCCTCCAGCAGATGCGGGGCGAGGAGGTTACCGCGCGCTTCAGCACCCTCTCCATCACGTCCTGCCCTCGGCATTCCCGGCCCAGGCCGCGTGCCAAGCCCGGGCAGATGTAACAGGCAGGAGATCCTTAATCTCCCGCATCCGCGCCTGTTTGGGAGCTGCTCGCCGGAGCCAAGGCCGCTCCGCACGCGCTGCCCCTGTGCTAGGAGCGCAGGACCTGCCTGCCGGGAGGGAGCTGTGGAGAAACATACGGAGCTCACGCCACCCCAACGTGAGTGCTTGAGCTGAAAAGCAGCTAAATTAAAATAAAATATGCTTTCCCACGTTAGCTTCCCCCGTGCAATTATACCAGGGCGCTCCAGCAGATGAGGCGCTGGCCACAACCTTGTTTTTTGCAGACTTGCTTTTGACTGTTTCAGTTGGAGGAGCAGCTTCCAGAGGGCGGGAAGGAGGTGGGCCCTCTCCGCATGGATTTCCAGGCTGCCCGCTGTTGTGGTAGTGGCTCTTTAGTGCCAAGTGTGGCTCTTATAATAGAAATAATCTAGGCTGGCTGCAAAAAATCAGCCATCCCATTGTGTGTTTAGGTAAATTAATATGGTAATGGCAGAGGACGCTGCTTTATCAAACAAAAAGCTGTTCCTGCAATAAAAGAGCCCTCTGTGGAACTTGTGCGGAGATCAGAATTGCAGTCAGGTCGGATATGTAAAACGCTCATCAGCCTCGCGGGTTCGATTCAAATAAGAGAGAAAAAAAAAATGAGAAGGTCATTTTTCTTGGGAGACAGCTGTGATCTTGCTGCTTGGGTGCAGCGCTGGAGCAGCTGCATTTGTGTGGGAATCGCAGGCCTCCTCCCTGCCTTTGTCTGCCAGGCTCCGATTTAACATCCTGAAGCCGTTAAAAATGGGCCGTTGTCTTGGCTGGATGGAGAAAAGCTGCGTTAAGCTGCACCAGTGGCACACGTGTTGTCCGTGCTTCCTGGTATCCATTCTGTAGAGGATGCGGCTTGGCCGGAGGCGGCTCATGGGGCGGAATTCCTGGTTTAGGAAGTGCCGGCGATGGTTTCTTCGGGAGCACGTGGGCAGTGCTGCACATGGCTATGCCACTCGCCATGGCAAGCACATCTTGGGGAGGATCTCGGGAGCATCCTGATAAACGAGAGGACGGAACACCTCTTACCACGAATGTCACTGATAGGAATCTGCTTGGCTCTGCCTGCTCCATTTTCCTTCCAGCTGCGGAGCAATGAGCTTCCCTGGATGTGCAAGGTACTAATGGGTGAATAAAGACAGCCTTAGCTCAAGGGAGAACCTTCTTTTCACATAACTGCAGCATTGAGAGCAAGGGCGGCAGTGTTATCCAAAGGGAATGGCTCAGTATGAAGGTATAAGTGGCACCATCTGCTTCGCCAGGGCATCATCTCCAATTCAGCAGCAAAGGAGGCTCCCGGAGTTCGGTAATTGGGAATAGGAGGCTCCTGGCTGGAAAGAGTGCCAGCCCTTCTGGCGAGAAGCGGCTCCGGCTTTGCTGCTGGCGTGTGAAAGCAAGTCTGTGCATTAGGCTCCGAGGATTGTTTAACCCTTGAGGCGCTTAAGAGACATGCAGCGTTTTGGCTCTTGGCACGGCGTTGGAAACAGCGTTGGAAACAGCATTGGGTTGCAGTGTGGAAACACAGCGGGCTCCTCGGCCAGGCCCGGGAGCCCTTTTGATAAAAGGCCGAGAAACATCTCGCAGCAAGCACGAACACAAACAGGTCGAGGCCCCTCCTCGCCTTGGGAGCTTTGGGCTGCTCTTTGTTTGACTCCTGATCAAAGCTGCTCACGTGCATCTCGAGGCAGAGAAGCGCAGGGGCCTCCAGGATTGCTCCTGATTAGACAACAGCTACTTCTATCACATATCGCATACACCCTGTGTCCTCCTTAAAAATCAAAGGGAGGTGATGCCATCAAAAAGACCACCAGAAAAACCTTTGTGCAGCCGTCACCTTTTAGCAGAGCTGTGACTAAGGTTGGCTTTGGGGACCTGCTTTGACACAGAGTGGGGAAAATGCTTCACAGCCCACGGGCTTTCTTGGCAGAGGGAGAATGTTGGGTTTGAAAGCCCAAGTGCTGGCGGTTCTGAAGATGAAACGGTGGGATTGCGAAGTGTGTGTTTTTTCCAAGTTCGATTTGGATGGGTTTTAATCTTCTTCAAATTAAAGGAAAATTTCTTGTTTGACTCAAAACAGAATTCTGTTTTCTTTGGACAGCCAACCAAAATAAGAAGTCAGCTCTATTTGCAGCCTTAGGCCAGGCTCCCTTGCCAGTAGCATCTCCACAGCCCCCCTGTTCCACGTGGCTTCACCAGACCCAGACTTTGTCACGTTCCTAAAGTGTTTACAAGAACAGGAGGATTCAGTGACTTGCTCTAAGTTTAGTTCAGGTATTACTTCCAGTCTGGTTGAATTCATAAATATTTTTGTATCCCACCTCGGTTTCATGGCCATTTGTCCACATCCTGCCTTTTAAGCAGTTTATATGAGCAAATGTATATTTTGTGAGTTAAACAAAGCAGAATATAGAAGTTTTTGCTGGTGTGCAAGATGAAGCAGGGTTTTGGTTGCAGCTGCAGACCAGTGACCAGCTTCCTCTCACCTGCTGTCACTAAGCCCTTTGCAGGAAGCCCCAGTGTTTTTCCAAGGACACAGATGAAGCTGGTGCCCTGTAGAATTTTGGCTTGATCCTTGCCATCTTCTCCTAGACATACTGTGCTAACCTGGTAACTGGCTTTTTGGTGAATTTTAGTTGAATCAGGCCTTCTAAAGGCATTTTGTAGCTCGTTCTGCTCTCTAGCAGAGCACAGACCTCCTGGGGCCTCCTCTAACAGCGCTGCCAACTCCAGCCTAAATGAGGATCTGCAGTTAGGTGGGAGAAGACAAGGGAATTCCTCTAGTCCCTAATTACTGCAGAGTTTAATTCTCTTCCTTTAATACATGTTCTCTTCTCCAGGAAACATGTCGAAAGTGCCAGGGGCTGTGGAAGGAGCACATGAACCTCACCTGCGAGCAGCTGGCCGAGAAAGATGACATCAAATACAGGACGTCCATGTAAGTGAATTCTGCAGCTGGCAAAAGTAGGGAGGTGATAAACTTGTCACGGCTCCAGCCAAGCTCTGGGGTGGATGGAAGTAAAGAACCTCGCTGCTCGTGACTAACAGAGCTTGAAAATTTCCTGGGTGTCATTCCCTTCCATCAAGGAGGTCCCAGGGATACGAGCCGAGTGATTGGAAAGCTTCTCAGATTTCCTCCTGTGAAAAATCCTTGGCAGTGGATCTGAGCGGTAACACAAGAACCCGGGCGAGTTGTCAGCAGCCCAGACTGCTCCTGGCCAGCGCGGTGTCTCGCAGGCTGGCACCTGCTCGTGCTCAGAAGTGAGAAACCTCCGTGACGGGGTGGCTTCCCCCTCGGCTGGGGGAGAAGGGAGGTGTTGCACAGAAGCATATTGAGTCGGGCACTGCTTTATTATTGCAGATCCGTCCTGCTGCCCGAGTGCTGAGGCAGGTTTGCTCAGCTGCTGCTTTCTAGTTTCGCAGAGGGGGATGTGTTTTCTCTTTTCTCACATATATTTGAATCTCACATAACCAGTCATACCTCTTTTTTTTAGAAATCTGCACAGAATTGAATACTCGTGTGAAATCCTGAGCGCTTCCATACGGTCTTTTGAACTCTGATCTCTCATTGCTGCTGTAAATGACAGAATCCTTTGGCACTAGGAAACGAGCAGGGGTTCAGCCATGGATCTGCATGTCTGGTGCAGTGAAATGGGACCTGCCTGTGGTGCCTGATCCTTTCTGCTCTGATTTGAAGTCCATGTGGTACAAGCAGAGGTTGGAGAGCTCTACCACTGGGAGCCTGGATGGGTGCTACTTGCCCAGCCCCTGATTTAAAACACAACATTTTGACATTCTTGATATGGCTTCCTTCTCTGCCCCTCCTTTCCCCATAGGAAAAAGGAGTGAGAGAGAGGAAGAGGAGGAAGTGCCGTGGCCCTAATAAGGAAAAGAAAAAAACTGATTTGAAAACCTCTAGCAGAATATTGCTGTAGATGGATGAGTTTTACTGCATGACACAAGAAAAGTTTCCTTTCGAAGGCCTGTGTAGGGAAAGGGAAGCACCGCTGGAGATCAGGCCAAACTTCCTGTCTTGCTCAAGGTTTTTAAAAAAAAAAAAAAAAAAAAAAGGAAAAAAAAAAAGGAAAAAAAAGGAAAAAAAACCCTGCATCAGCAGCATCCTGTTGAGCAGGGGAGGAAAGAGCAGCTGCAGCTCAGAGCAGAGTCAGTCCCAAGTTGACTTTTTTCCTCTCCATTCCTGGTATGTAACCAAGCAGCTGGATGCAGGTCCTGCCAGCTAGAACTGCGTGGAAGTTTTGTGTAGCTGCAGGTCGGCCTGAGTTTCTACCTCCAGCTGCTTTTTTCCTTTTTTCCTGCCTTATTATTCACTCCTCCTTTGGTTCTGCTGCTGGATTGGTTTGAGGAGCTGTGCTGGATTGCTGCCGTGATCCTCCTTAAAATGCTTCCCTGCCTTCTCCATCCATACGCTGGGATTGCAGGCCCATTAAAGCAGCTGGGTGGAGATGCTGGCTAGGGAGAAAGATCATTCCCCACTGTCAGGTCAGCCCAGCCAAAGGACTTCATTCCCCCAGTCCAAATACAGTTCCCTGACTCTTCTGTCATCGAGTTTCTGAGCTCCTACATTGTGAATTAAATTGTAATATGATCTCCCGTGGTCAGAAAATTGGCCCTCGGGATGACAACTTATACTCTTAAGTCTTTTAATTAAATGGCCACGGCTCTGCTCCGTTTCTGGGCCAAAATGAGGTTGCTGCGAGCTGAGCCCTTGCGCTGGAGCATGCTCTTGAGAGAGAGGGAAAGCCCAGTCTCTATGGGAAAGATGTGATTATTTTTCAGTTACTGATTTAAATTTAACAACAAAGGAATAATAGAGCATTGCAGCCGACTTGAAGGAGAAAAAAAACCCCATGGTCGTGGCAGCTTGGTAACCAAAGCAACAGCCAAACATAAAATTAGCTAGCAGATGACAGCAAACAGTTTGCTTTTCCTGAACTTTATCCCCTAGACCGTATTTCTCTGCAGCCAAGTCAAGCAGCCACGTGGCCTTTGGCCCTTTGACTTTTGGGTTAAATTCCTCCCAAACCAGAGCCTGGGCCTGCTGCGTTTTGGCTCACATGGAAACCAGGGCTGAGTTTGTAGAATGCAGGCAGTGATTGACTTTCTTTCACTTAATTTGTTCTTGGCTTGTCATGGACTGGCTCCAAATGGAGTTGAGCCCAGACCTCCTTGGAATAACGATTCCAAGGTTCCTCCTTGGAACAACAGGCTGGAGAGGGGTGCACTTGGGGAAAGGGAGGAGGGTTAAAGCACTATATAAGAGTATATTTACTGTGGCCTGGCAAAGGCAAACACTGCTTTTAATTCTCATCCCTCCTCTCGTGTTGCAGAGAAGAAAAAATGACGGCCGCCCGCATTAGGAAATGCCACAAGTGCGGGACCGGCCTCATCAAGTCGGAGGGCTGCAACCGCATGTCGTGCCGCTGCGGCGCCCAGATGTGCTACCTGTGCCGCGCTGCCATCAACGGCTACGACCACTTCTGCCAGCACCCGCGCTCGCCCGGGGCGCCCTGCCAGGACTGCGCCAAGTGCTCGCTCTGGACCGACCCCACGGTAAGGAATCGAGGGCTGGTGTGAACTGTTTCCCGTTACGTGCACTGAAATGGGTGTTTTCCACCAAGGAAAACTCTTTCTTTTAGGCTGCACCAGTGTTTTGTGACCAGGGCAGCACCTTGGACACCTATTCCAGCTCGCACCTGACTGCAAGTGGGAAGTAACTGGTGGTCCTTGGGGAATAGTTCCTCTTGGATGTGGTTTCTGGTTGGACGTGCTCCGTGTGCTGCTCCCGGGTGTGGAGATTGTGAAAAGAGCTAGAGGGGACTGTGTGCTAGCAGCAGGCCTGGGGATTCCTGGGATTTGGTCCTAGTTTTGCAGCTGAGCGCTGTATGGTCTGGCTTTGCTTGTGAGGGCGAGAGGAGTCGTGTCTTTGTAGGACCCAATAACTCTTGCTTTTTTTTCCCATCATCTAACATTGAAGGGTATGGAGTGAGCAGAGACAGAGCCCCTGAGAAAAATGCCTGCGAGTCAAAGGTCCAAAGCCCCAGCACAAAGTTACCCTTGTGTCTGTTCTCACAGCTGGTGTCAGCATTTGCAAAGGAAGAGCTGAAACGCAGAGAGGGTTGAAAGGGAGGCTGTAGTAAGTAACTTAATACTCAGAGCTGTAAAACAGCTTGGAGCTGTGGTGAGCGTGGGATAATCTAGTGCACTATCTCTGTAGAGGTCTTCAATCCCAGAAACTTGGAGGCAGGAGCAAGAGTTGAATTTCCTGATTGCAGCAAAGCAGGAAAACAACATGAACGTGGGTCTGCCTTCCCAGGGCATGTCTGAGCTTCCGTTGGTCCCAACGTTGCTTTGTGCAGGGCAACCGTAGCCCGCCAGACTCCTACCAGCACGTCTTTCCGCAGGGAATGTGCACGGCCCTTTGCTTACATAAAGCCCAAAAAAAATCCACTCTAAATCTCTCCTTTCTCCCCGGAGGCTCCTGGGGGTTTCCCAGCAGTGTCCTAACTAGTGTAAATGCTCGGATTCTGTTTGCTTTCTTTTGTTCCCAAATTATCCTCTCACGGGGAAGGGTTAAACCCAACAGCCACCTGCTTCTGGGCATTCCTGCAGCCCCGCTGCTCCGAGCCCTGGCTCTGCCGGGCCCTTGTCCCGCTCGTCCCCTTGTCCCTCAGGCCGTGATCCAGCGTTCGGCAGCGCAAGGGTCTTTTGTCCCCGTCGCGCTCCTGCTTGGGTTCCCTAATGGCATTCGTGCCGAGCCAGAGAAAACATGAGGCCTCTCAAAAAGCTCACGCTGTATTTTAAAAATAAATAAATAAACAGCACAAAGAGTGCACTGTCACCAGGCCCTCTCCCGCTCTCTAATTAACCAATGCTGTGGCTAGGAAAAAATTCCCACCATCAGCAACGGGTTGGCACCACAGAGCGTTTGTGGAGGCCGGAGCCTTGAGGGGCTGAGGAGCTGAGGTTGGGTGACTGTCCTGCCCGCGGGGCAAAGAATAACATGCAGCTCAAAGCGGAGGGCAGTTTGGGAGCAAGGATGACATTACAACCCGTTCCTAACCCAGTTAATCTGCATCCCGACGCGGGGCAGCTTGAATCTTGACATGGGATAGGGAAGAACAAAGGGCCGTTGTACCAGAAATACCGTGTGCTTGGCCAGGAAAGGTGCCCACCCAGCTGCCTCCTGCCCTCCAGGCCAGCGCTGGCCTCGTTTCTCTGTCTCTATCGACACCTGTTTCCTTTTTGCTCCAGCTCCTCTTTCTGTTGGCCTCAGCAGAAGGGCGTGCGGGAAGAGAATAGCAGTTGTAGGCAGATTTGCAGGCACGTAGAGCGGAGAAGATGGGGTCATCTCCGTTTGGGTCATTTGCAGCCCATCACTTGGGAGCTTCTACTCATCTCCGTGCATTAGGCTCTGTGCAAAACCTATGTGGCACCAAAGCGTGGGGTTTTAGAGGGTGACAGGGCGTTTTTGCTCTGATTTCTGGTGAATTTATGTCTAATCTCAACTGGGAGCCTCCTCGGAGCTCCTGCAGCGTGGTCACCCGCCCGTTGTCCGTCTTGTCTGGTTTCATTTCACGCGTGTAGACGTTGGCTTTCCGTCAGACCTGGATAATCCTGCCTGCGTTAAGAACCTGGCTGGCTCGTCCTCTCCGTTGCTTAAGGCAGAATTCGGCTGCCTTTAAAACAGGGAACCTTTGTTCTTCTCCAAAAGTGTCAAATTTTCTGCGAGTCTGCAGTGATTCTTGAGGACGTACAAGCAAATCTATTCATTAGCCCGTGTTAAAGCCAAGTTAGAGGCAGCCCTGTAGGAACTACAGCATCTGCTAGTCCTTGTCTCAAATGATCTTGAGGGAATAAAGCAGACACTTCAAAATTTCCCATAATAAAAGCTTATTTTGAAAAAAAAGACAAAAAAACTCTGCTGTTGCATGTATTATTATTTCTGATTTAATACTCCTCTTTGGTCTATCAGCAATACTGTAGAGCAGCGTTTGCTTTTGGCTTCAGAGATTGAGCTTTTTGCAGTATCTCTTATAACGCTTAAAACACGCCCAGATACCCCTCAGTGAAGCTCAAAGCAGCAAACCAGCCATTAGGAAGTGTTTGCAGTGATCTTGCTTTCCAGCGCTGTAAATAGAAGATGTTGATTCAATTGCATTTACATGCATTAAGGAAATGCATGGAGTGCCTGACACTGGTGCGTCGGGACGGGAAGCTGGGAGCAAGGGGAGCTCCCCGCTGGATCTGGTTTCCCTGGGAGCAAGGGGAGCTCCCCCCTGGATCTGGTTTCCCTGGGAGCAAGGGGAGCTCCCCCCTGGATCTGGTTTCCTTGTGAAGAGCTCTGAAATGGCACAGGGCTGGTTCAGGCTGCTTCCCGAGCCCAGCGATAGGGAAACGTCTGTTGCTAAAATGACTCGGCCCCTCTGGAGCCCCTGGAGCATCCGGCCTCGCGTGCTGCCCCTGTGAGCACATCCCTGCGGATGCCCCATTCCCACATTCCCATCGGCTCTCATCCCATTCCCTGCGTGCCACCAGGACCGCGCTCTCCTCAGCCGAGCTGGGAATGGTTTGGAACAACCCCCTCTGCCCGCTGCAAGTCTCCATCGTGAAAATCATCTCCAGTTTATTGGGACCGGCTGTGGCTGCACGTACGGATGGGGAAAAAAGGAGCAATAAAATCTGGGAAGGGGGAGGCATTGACGAAGGCAAGAGCCCTTGTCCGGAATAGCTGCCATGTCCCTTGTTCCCCCTCTTCCAGGAGGCCGGCAGCCCTTCTCCTGGAACACTTAATAATTAAGGAAGATGCCAAGAAACCTAATAGGTAAACGGAGAGCTTTGGGAAGCTTTATTGATGGCTTTTTGTTCCGGGCAATGGAGGGTTTATTTGAGCTCCCTCTTCTCCTGCTGCTCCTTCCCGAGGGCCGCCCGCTGTCCGTGAGCCACGCTGGGATTTGCCTCCTGCTCCCCGCAGGGAAAGGTGCCTGGCTCGCTTAGCAACGGAGCCGGCTCCGTGTTGAATCCGGCCGCGGAGCGCGAGCCGGGAAGAGCCACCCGCCGCCTCCGATTGGCTCCGCGCTCTCCGCATTCCCTGAATTCAATGGGAGATGGCTGAAAGGAGGAGGGAAAAAAAAGGGGGGAAAAAACCCCACACCCTTCTGGACCCTGAGATGTAACCAGATCCTTTTGCAATCCTTGGATCGCGAGGGAAGAGCGGTCAGCTAAGGGCCATTCCATGTTCCAGCCATTCCTGGGGCACGTGCATCTCTCTCGGCTCCTGGGATGTGGAGTGGAGCTGCAAGGAGCATCTCGCTGTCTGCCTTGGGGCAAGCATGGTCCCCTGGTGCTGTTGGAAAGGCAGCCTTGAGTCAGCTTGTTCACGGCACGTGTGGATAAGGAACGTGGATCCATCCCTGGCTTCTCCTCGGGATTCAGCGTGTGGCCCCCTCCCGCTCCTGCAATCCCGTGGGAAGCATCTTGATGCCATGGTGCCCTGTGCTGCCCCTTGTAGGAAGGGGACCAGGTCACCTCCTTGCCTGGGGACATGGGCAGTGTGGCCAGGACCGATGCTTCCGGGGGATTTAGGGGGTTACGGCTGTTTTTTTTCCCCCTTTCTTTTTTCCATAGACAGGCAGCTGGCAGGAACGTGTCTGCTCGCTTGACAGGAAGGATCCCCTCAATCCACCCAGCCTGTGGACGGGCTGTTAAAATTGCAACCCTTCACTAAAGGACTTGGACCCCTCGGGAAGGCGGACACGGAGGCTCTGCAGGCTCTGGTGAAGCCTCTGCTCCGAGTGACGTTCCGTGGTTTCCTGCCACAACCACCAGCCACAAGGACACCAGTGAAAGCTGCAGTCCTGCTGCAGCTGCTTTGCCTGGGGAAGGCTTCAGCTGTTATCTCTCTGTGTGTCTCCTAATCACTTTGGGCTCGGAAAGCAGTCTTTGCTTCTCAAAATACTAGGTCTTCAATGCAAGAATATCCCGGTTGTACCTGGTGAGCGTTTGCAGCGCAGAGACTTCTTAATTTGCAAATCTGACCTGTAGCAGTGCAATATGTAAGAGCCAGAACTTGTGGCATCAGCTTTTGCTCGTGAATATGTCCTAAAATTGCCCTTCTATTTGCCTGTGTCACCAACTTTTTAATTCCAGCTAGTCGTGGATCTTTCCTGAGTCGTGCTGGTATTGAGCTGCGTTGATGACTTGCCAAATTTAATGCCAGGCTTTGATTTTTGCGTAGGACAATGCAATTTTATTTTTATATTAAGATGGACATCACGTTGAGAGCTGCGGAGATGAAGTCAGGGCACCCTTGGGACTGTTTTATAGCTTAAAAAAAACACAGTAATAATAAATGCAAGTGCATTTTTTCCATCGAGTGGAAATAACGTGAGAGAGGTGGCTATTTCTGTTCCCCCTCTCAACTATCCTGAAAAAAATACAACTGGTGGGGGGGACTTGAAAGCTTTGGGCCACCCATCGAGAGCAGGGACCTGCGGGGTGTTCGGTTGCCTGTTGCTGAGCGCAACAGGCGCCCGGGGAGCGCAACAGGCGCCCGGGTCGCCTGTTCTGCAGCCAGGCAAACCAGCAACGTGATACTTGGAGGGTAATTAGAAATCCTGCATGGGCTCAGAAGAGCCATTCCTGAGCACTTTTTATGGAGATAGGCTGTAATTAACAGCCCGTGGATGGAGGCTGTTGGGGAAGGGGAAAAGCACGTGCTGGAAAGTCTTTAATTTTAACCGTGGACTCGAGGAAGAATCAAGGAGAGGGAAGTGTTGACTTTGAGGGCTTTGTGCAGATTAAGATAACGGCGGTCGCCCAGGGAAACCTTATCTGCTGGGGGAGGAGGGGGTGTCTGCACAGGCTTCCCAGGCCGTGCCGCTAGACATGTGCGAGACCGGGAGATTGCAAGTGGGAAGCTGGATAGGCTTGAAATAACGTCCGCAGCGCATGGAGCCTATTTCATAAGCGAGTCCCAGGGCCCTCTTCGAAACGGAGGATATTTTCCACGTTGAGAGCGCTCAGGAAGAAATTTACCGCTTTTGGCAATCCTTGGAAATGGGATGAATAAAACCGAGGCAGAGGCTTGTGCACTGGGAGGTTCCTGGGGATTGGAATTTCCCGCCGTTCCCGCCTCGGTGCTTGCACATGAGCTGCTTGGAGCAAACCAAATGCTCCTGCGTGTGCAGGTGAGCGCTTGCAGCTCCGTGCAAGTGTTGGGTGTCGCAGAGCAGCTCCTGTTCTCGGCCCTCGTTCCCATCCAGGGTGCAGACGCTGTCCAGGAGGCTTTTTTCCTTGATTTGCAGACAACGCCAGGTAGAGTTTCATCCCAGTGGACACCAAGCAGCAAATGCAGCCTTACAAAGACACTTTGCCATCCATGTGCGTGTGGCCAGCAAAAGCATCCGCCTGGCACTGGGAATTGTGCTTTTAGTTACTGGGTTCAGTCTGTGCTACCCTGCAAGCTGTTGTGTCCTGCAGCAAAGAAACTTATTTCCATAGCCATTCTTGGGAACGGGCAGGTGATGGGGAAACACAAGCAGTTCTCTGGCTTCATGCCAAAGCTGGAATGACTTTTGGTATGGATTTTGAGACCTGTGGATGGTTGATGCCCAGGGCCATCTTCCCAGGTGTGCTTTTCCGGCTCAGGACTTGCATGGACATCTTGCAAGCCTGTTTTTGTCCATCCTGCTCCCTTGATCTAGCAAAAGGAAGTGTAAATGCAAGCTCTGGAGATGCCTTCAGCCACCTAAGGCTGCCTGTGCTGTTTGGCCCAGCTGTTGCCAGCTTGGGCTGAATGAAAATGCAGAGGATGAAGAGGGCCTGGAGGATGCTGGTGGGTCCTGGCTTGCCCTTGAGTTCTCTTTGAGCAGCAGGTTTGAATATTTTTAGTATTCTAGATGGACATTAAGAAAAACATGTTGGGATTTATGTCCTCCTCAAAGTTACAGATAAGATCTAAATGGCCTCGTTACAGCACCGTTTAGCGACTAGAGCCAGGATTTAAGTTGTGTTAATTCCCGCTATTGGGCCAAAAACTCTCCAAGTGCTAGCACAGTGTAAATATTTAATACACAATTGCCATTTAAAAGATTAACAGCTCTCCAGCAGCCCTTTGGCTGGGCGGAGCTGGGTTGCTGCTCTCTGGTTTCTCTCAAGTCAATGAATTTTAGCACTGATCTCCTGGAAAGCTGATCTAAGCCTCCTAGCCGTGCAGTATGCCTGGCTCTGTGCAAGTTACTTTTGCTGCAGCTCCTTATTGTAGCTTTGCCTTTTTCCTGAATATTGGTCAACCCCAAAGGGAACTATTTGGCCCAATTTACTTCTGGGTGGGGAGGGCACAAGAGGTGGACAAACACATGCTGAAAAGCCAGCAGCAAGGATAAGAGACCGGAAACTGTGGCAGAAGTGACCCCACTGACTTTTTATCCACCTTTTAATCTTAGGAAGACGATGAGAAGATAATCCAAGAGATTCAGAAAGAGGCTGAAGAGGAGCAAAGAAAGAAGAATGGAGGTAAGTCCTAATCTTTACCTGCGATTAAAGAACAGGTTAAGGTGACGGGAGAGCAGAGGGTTCCCGGCTCAGGAGGCACCTCAGGGTCTCCGTTGGCTCCTTCCCAAGGCCTGGCCGCTTGTTGGTGCCCGTCCGGGGGTGTTGGGGATGAGCAGGGCTGGGTCTCCTCTCCACTTGGCCAAGGGCAGCCTAAGCTCTGTGCCTTGTGGTGGGGGACCGGGGCGTACAAGGGGCACCGCAGCCTTTTGCAGGAGCAGGATTTGCTCCCCGTTTGTGCTGCTGAAAGGAGCCAGCCCGGCCCCAGCCCTGGCGAGGAGGAGGAAGGGGCAGCAAAGCCAGGGGTACGAAGGCAGGTGGAGGTGCCACATGGCGTGTGCTGGAGAAGGGGATGGTGCCTCTAGCAAGCTTGAGACCGTAGGCCAAGCTTGGAGAGTTTTGCTTGTGGGATGACTGTTTCTTTGCTTTCTTCCCTCTGCAGAGAACAGTTTCAAGCGGATCGGCCCTCCTGTGGAAAAGCCCGTGGAGAAGATCCAGAGAATTGAAGTCATCCCCAGGCCCGTTCCTCAGAACCTCCATCAGCCCCGAATGCCCCCGTACCCGTTCGTGCACCCTCCCTTCCCGCTGCCTCCCGTCCGGCCCATGTACAACAACATTCCCCTCAACATCGGCCCCATCCCTGCCCCCTACGTGCCCCCCTTGCCCAACATGAGGGTGAACTACGATTTCCCCCAAATCAACGTCCAGCTGGAGCACAACTTGCCCATGCACTTTGGCCCCCAGCCTCGGCACCGCTTCTGACGCGGTCCGAGGAGCGCTGGGTGCTGCGGGACAGAGCCACCCTGCGCTCCCGGCCCTCTCCCTGCTTTGGGTGCTCCCCCCTGCCAGCTGCCAGGGGCACCGCTCTGCCTCACACGGCCCCGCGCCCGTGTCTGTAGCTTCCCTCAACCTTTGCAACCCAGCGTTTCGGCCTGTGCTGGAGCAGGGCCTGGGGCTGCTTTTCCAAGAGTCTTCTCCTGTGTTGGACGTCCAGAGGTTTGGGGTTGACGAAGAGCGTCCAGGAAAGCCGTGTTGGTGAGCACAGGGGTTTCCCAAAATCCTGCTTTCCTCTCAGCTAGAGCAGCTGCCACGTGGTGAAGGCCCTTGAGCAAGGCAGGGGAGACCTGCAATCCAAGCGAGACCTTCAGAAACAAAATACCAGGACTTGGCTGCTGGGAAGCAGCGTGGGGCTGGGGTTCAGAGATGTGATAGCTACATGTTTTCTTGTGTCCCTGTTGCCATTTCCCAGCAAGAAAGAAGTGTTGAAACAGCTAAATTCAGCACATGTGACATCGTACTGCCCTGCAAGGGGAGTCAGGAGATGCAGAAGTACCTGACCGCTCAGATCAGCGTAGTCGGCCCAGAGCCATGTTCTGTCTCAGGGCTTTCAGAAGTAGCAGAAGACTCGGGCACCTTACCTTTGGGGAACTGAAATTCTTTTTTTTTCCCAAAGATGGGTGTCTCGCAACTTCCAAAACGTGGCCTTAGGTTTGTTCTGATCTGGGCATCCCAAATCCCCTCCTGTTTGTGCCAGGAGCCCTCAGAGCGCTGGGGGAGGCGTCGCAGAAAGGGCCGGGGCGGCTGCCGTCTCGGGCGCTCGGAAGCCGGCTGCTTCCTCTGCTTTTAATAACTTCAGGAAACGTGTGTTTCGGCTTAGCTGGCTTCCAGGCACCGTGTCAAAAGGCAAACGTGAGTGTTGCTGGGCTGAGGAAGCGAGGATTTGGGAAGAAGCTTCCTGGGAAGAAGCAGGGGGTGGAAGTGCTGCATGAGCTCGCAGGAAGCGCCGGGCCTGGGAGCAGAGCGTCCCTGCGGAGCCCTTTCCGCACCGCGTCCCTGCTGGCTGCGCAGCCCTTGGGAAGAGGAATGCCTGAGGGAGAAGCCTCCCGGCAGAGCTGCTGGGGGTCTCACCAGTGCAGCGGGGCAGGGTCCAGCCTGTGCTGCATCCCGCTCCTCCCTGCCCGCCGCCTCCCCTGCGTTTTTCCCTTTTTTTTAAGCATTAACCCCCGTCTGGCCGACGGGTCTGCTTGTGTTTCAGGTAAAGCCCCCGTGCCGGGGCTCGTGTCCAGGCCCCGCGGCTCGCAGCGCTCCGTAACCTCCGCCCGGCCTTAGGCAAGTGATGCTCCCGTCCTGGGACTGTCCCCAAGGGAGGGGACGCGCCGGGCGGCCGCAAAGCCGTCGCTTCCAGCTCCCCGCTGTCTCTAGCATTAATAACCAGGTGGTTATTCACTTGCTGCTATTTTTTTTTTTCCTTTTTAATTTATTTCTGGAAGTAGCCTGGGGACCGAGGTGGCTTCTCGCGGCTCAGCTGGGGTTGAGCCAGGTTTAAATCCTGCCTGATGTCAGCTGCTTCCTGGGGGAGCCGAGAGCAGGAGGGACCCATTTGGGATTGGGGGGTGGTAAGAGCCCGGCCCCAAGGGCGGGCAGGGATTTTGCCCGGAGCTGCGATGGGAATGAGCCGGGTTTGGCCTCCCGATGGAGGAGGAGAGAGGGAGAAGCTGCCCCTGCAGCGGGAACTCCTGGAGAGGCCGCGTTGGGCCGGTGCTGCGGGAGCTCCGGGCAGGAAGAGCCGCATCCCGTTGGGATGGGCAGCAGCCCCACATTGCTGAGGGTAAAAACCACAGCGCAACTGGAGCTGTGGGTGTGTGTGGCTGGAGATGGGGAGCTGTGGGAGCTGGGCAGAGGGAAGGAGCAGCAGGTAGAGCCGCCAGCAGGTTCCTGTGGAGCCCACGTGGAAGGTGGGTCCGGAGCAGCCCTTCCATGCGGGATGCTGCGGAGCTGGAAGGGAGAGACCTTTCCCGGATCCCTGGCAAATCCCTGAGCTTGTCCCCGCGCCGCGGAAACACCCAAAATCATCAAATCATCCCAAGCCTTGGCTGGAATCAGCTCCTTGCAGCCGCACAGGGCTCCGAGACCAGGTGGGTTCGTGTCGATGGTTAAAGAAACCCAGTGGGGAGAGAAACCCACGTTTAGGCTCAGCCTGCCCTGCAAGCCCGACTCAGAGCCCGTGCCCGACGCAGGCGGCTGCGGTGCCCGGTAGCTCTCCCAGCAGGTACTGGACGTGGTTTAATTGCAGTGTCCCGTTTTACTTGCCTTAAAGGTGGAGAGAGAAACCTAGTATTTGCACTTAGCAAAAACATTATATTAAAAGAAACCCTGTAAAGATGTGCATGTTCTGCAACTTTGTATAACAATAGCCAAAAATAAATAGGTGGTTTATTAAAAATAATATTTTTCTTTACCTTCTGGTAGTAAGCCGTTCTAATATTCCGTGTGTAAAAAGTTCCTTGTATTATATTGTAATTTGAATTTTTTTTGTAAATAAATTTGTGCACTCTGGCTTTCAGCTCCGCGTGTTGGGGACCGCGGCCACGGGCTTTGCCAGGTCGCAGCCTCAGCGCTCGCAAACCCTGAGAGCTGCAAGGCAAAAACATTTGACCCTCCTGTAAAAGCTTAATGCATTCCAAATGCTTTTGAGGAAAAACTGAGTGGAACAGAAAATGGTTCCCAGTTGCTCTTTTAAATGGAAACCAGGACTGTAGAAGGATTTTTTTTATTATTTCCAAGGAGGGGGAAGGGATGTGGGGCTTTCCTCTTTGCGGGACTGATGATAAATACAGACTGTGCATTCCTCAGGTCTTAAAAAAGGAGGGAAATGGGTCTTGGCAGCTTGGGGGTTGCAGGGATGGGTGGACACGTTGGGTGCGGGGCTGCTCCAGCACTTTTCAGCCCCAAAAGCTTAAACAGCAAATTTTTATTATTATTTTTTCCCTAAGCTCCATCTGGATGCCCAGATGTGGCTGCTGGCCCCAGTTGCTCATGCCCTAAAACTGGAACTAGGAGCAAAGGCAGCAGTGAATGGGACGAGGGAGGACGCGGGGGTCCCCGCGCTGCCCCGTTTCCCCCCTTCACTGGATCTGGGGGACACGCAGCCGCCTTTGAGGCCTGGGATGTCGCAGGCAGCTGCTCCTGGGAGGAATGGAATTGAAATCCGGGCCGTTTCCCTGGGCGGGGAGTCCTGGGGTTGGGGAGAGCGGGTGGAGTGGCCCCAGGTGGAAACTGCAGGGCCCCGAGTGCGTGGCCAGGTGCCTCCTATTGCTGATGAGAGAGGTGTGAGGAGGAGGAAGAGTAGGAGGAAGGACAAGGAGCTGGAGGAAGAGCAGGAAGAAGGACAAGGAGCCGGAGGAAGGACAAGGAGCAGGAGGAAGGTGAGGGAGGGATGGCAGGAGCTGCCTGGCCATGGTTGGGGTCAAGGTGCTCCCAGCGCTGGGTCCTCCTGGTCCGTCCTGTGTCACCGGAGCTGTCCATGTGGCTCCCTGCACACCCTGGTTCCCCAGGGAGGGTTTATGTGGTGCGTTGAGGTCTGAGCCCACGCGGTGCAGCAACCACCCTGCCTCTGCCCCCTCGGGGCCCCACAGCCGTCCCCAGGGTCCCCAGGTCCCGGAGCGCCCCGTGTCCCCGTCGCGCTGGCTGCTCCGCGCGGCCGAGCCCCCCACGAGGGCTGACAAAGCACGCGGGAGGCTCTCGTATCCGAATGCAGGTTTTTATTCATCTTTCTCCATTTGAAGCTATTTTTAAGTTATACAAATGGCACTTACAAAAAAAAAAAAAAAAAAAAAAACTTAAAAAAAAAAGACAAAAAAAAACCCCAAACCCCCAAAACTTAGGAGTGAGATGTTTCCAGAGAGTCACGACACCCGATAAAAGAGGAGACAGGAGGAATTCTCGACCTGGGGTGACACGGAGGGAGCCGGGGCGGGAGTTACACGGAGGGAGGCGCGCGGAGGGGCCGAGGGCCGCGGGGTTTCACCAAGGCGCTCGTCCCTTCGGGAAGCGGCCGGAGCCCGGCCCGGATCGGAGGCGGAGGCCGGTGTTGTGAGCGGGACGGGGGAACCGTCCGGCCGCGGCCGTGCCCCGAGCGAAGCACCGTCCCCGCGGCGGCGTTAAGGCCCAGGAGCCCCCGCGGGTGTCGAGGCCGGCGGCGCCGGCCGGGATGAAGCCTCGGATGCGGCAGGGAGCGAATCCCACCCACCCCCATGCCGGAATATCCCGAAGGATAAAGCGCCTTTCCACACCCTGGAGCAGGCGCGGGCAGCGCCCGGCGTCGCGCGCGGCCCGTCACAGACAACAGCGGGGAACACAGCGCCGTGGGGAGCACGGAGAAAGCGAGGACTAACAAAAACACTGTTTTGGTCGTTCTTTTCTTTTCTGCTTCCAGTAGGGATGAGATGATGCTGCCGAAGCAGCCGCCCCGTCCCGGCCGAGCCCGGGGGGAGCGAGGGGCGACGCGGTGCCGGGCGCTCCGTGGCCACCATCGCCCTTCCAGTAGCTTTTGAGAGGAGAAGGGAAAAGGGGGGAGAAAGAGCACTGAGCAACTAGCACTGTGCAAAGTTTTGCTGCGACGTGTTCTGTCCTGTAAACCCAAATCTGCAGGTTTTGCTTCCAGCTGCTGCCCGGGGGAGGTCGCGGCGCCGCGCGCTGCCCGGGCTCCCCGGCGGCTCCGCTCCCTTTCCGTGGAGGGGCCCTGGGGACGGGGACCCCACACGGGCTCCGAGATGCTCCGGCAGCAGTGGGACATGCGGACGGGGACAGAGGGACGAGATGGCTCAAAAGGAGCGCGGGGCTCCAGGAGATGAACGGGACACAGGCCCTATGGAGAGGACGTTGGCCAGCACGTGCCAGCCCCGTCCCGGGGACACTTTGATATGTGCGGCCGCCTCGGTGGGGACGGGAAGATCCGCCAAGCGCAGAGGGGCGAGGAGCTGCCGTCCGTGGGCAGCGGGAGCGGGTCCGGCCCCCCGGGATGCTCGTGCAGGGCGGCCCCGACGGTGCCAGCGCGGAGGTGGCAGGCGGGAAGTGACCGTGTTCCCTTGGGCAGGACAGGGGAAGGGGCAAAACCAGCGGGCAGCGGCGCTCCCGGGGAGGGAGGCGGCGGGCAGAGCCCTCTACAAACCCCCGGGCTGCTCCGCGTGGCTCCGCGCCAGCGTTTCCAGTTCTCAGCGAGCTCGAGGGAAGGACAAGCCGGGCCGGAATCCGTGTACGGGGAGGAGGGACCCAGAGGGATGGGGAGGGGAGGAGAGTTGGCAACGGGAGGAACCTAAAGTGCATTAATATTCCCAGAGGGTGGAGGCGTCGATGGCGTCGGCCGAGGCCTTGAGGACGCCGGCGTGGTCGCCCTTCAGGTATTTGCCGTTGATCTTGATGGCCACTTTGTTATAGTCGCAGAACTCGAAAAAGAAGTCCACGGGGGAGTCGCTGCTGCTGGTCACGGACGACTCGCTCCCCACCATCCAGTACTTGCCGGTGGCATCTGCGGGGAGAGCGCGCGGCCCCCGTGAGCTCCCGGGACAGCCGGGGATGCTCCCGGGGATGCTCCCGGGATGGGGAGCAGCGTGGGGCCAAGTCAAGGCAGGAGCAGAGGGGAATCCAGGGGGTCTCGTCTCGTAGCACCCCAGAGGGGCACTATTAAGAAATGTCCCCCCACGCGAAGCCCCTCGTGCCCTCGCCGGCCTTACCCTTGATGTTGTAGGCGCCGTCGTTGAACTCCAGCTGGAAGACGTCGTAGGAGGAGCGGTTGGAGTCGAGGGTGCCGGTGACCTTGCGGCAGCCGATGAAGCCGTGCTCGCCGCGCAGCACGATGATGGGCCGGTTGATGAGCTTCATCACGAAGTGCTCGGTGTCGCCTGCGCGCGGCACGGCGCCCGTGAGCGGAGCCCGCGCACCGAGGACGCCGCTCGGCGCCCAGCAGAGCAAGGGGGGCCCCGGGGGTCCCCAAGGCCGCGATGTCCTTACCTGCCGCCTCCATGGAGGCCGCCAGCTGCCCGTTCTTCTTGGCCGTCACGTACTTGCCGTTGGCCGCTTTGAGGGTGATGCGCTTGTCGCGCCACTCGATGTCGAAGTAGCAGCTGGCGTTCCTGGGGGACAGCGAGCGGGGCGCTCAGCGGCACCGCAGGGGCGCTCCGGATGCTCCGGATCCACAGGGCATCACCGCCTGTGCCCCGGCGTGCTCCAAAGAGCCAAACTGCACCGGGGCTTTGGGGACTTGTTGGGATTATCCTCCAAAGCCAGGCGAGGCTGCGGGGACTATCCCATCACGGCCGGCACAGCGTTGGCAGCAGTGGGGAGGGAAGCGGGACGCGTGTTGGAATTCGTGTTGGGATTCGTGTTGGGATTTGTGCCGGCGTCACTCCCACAGCCGGGTCTGACCGCAGGGCGAGCGTTTTGCCGAGCCCGGCGTCCCGGGAAGCACAATGTGACCCGAGGGAATTCCCGAGCCTCCCGGGACAAGCCCGGGCTGAGCGCCGCCTTTCCAGGCACCGCGTCTTCCTGCAGGGAAGCATCCCGGGGCAAGTGTCTGGGAAATCCCTGTACCCCCGGGAACGCCATCCCGGGAATGGGGTGGCTGCTCCCAACCCCTCCGCTCCCCCATGGTCCCCAACGCGGCCGGTCCCCGCCGCGAACCCCGGCACTCACTTTGTGGAGGCCGTGGACTGGATGCCCCCGTTGGAGGTGAGCGTCCAGTACTTGCCGGTGTAGGTGCGGAAGGCGCATTTCTTGGTGTCCTTGTTGATCTCCAGCTGGTAGGTCTCCTGGTCGCCCTCCTCGTCCTGGTTGGCCGAGAGGTCCATCCCTGCGGGGGCGGCAGTGAGGGGCGCGGGGGGCCGGGGCAGCCGCTGCCTGGGGGCTCCCCGGGCGGGCTCCCTCCCCCGGGCTGCCCTGCGGCTCCTGCAGCGCGCGGCGGCTACAAGCTCTGCTTTAAAGCACCCCGGGGCCGCTGCGAGTCTCCCGGGTCCCCTCCCGCCCGGGCCCTTGTCCCCACGCCGGCCCTGCTGCCACTGCGCCGCTTTCTCCTCCGCTGCAAGCGCAGGCGCTGCGAGATGCAGCAGGCGCTGCAGGTTTGGGAGCTTGCAGCCCTTTTGCACCATGAATCCATGAGCGGGTCCTCCCTGCTCGCTTGGGAAGGAGCCGAGCTTCCACAGAGGCAACTAGCACCTTTCCAGTGGGAACATTTGACTAGATAGGCTGCGTTATCACACTTCGAAATGGAAACCCTGTCCCCACCACCCCGGCGCGCTGCGTCAGAGCCGCCCACCCAGCGGATCCGGATCCGCGTCTCCAAGCGCATCCGCATTCGGGAGCGCAGCCCCACGGGCGCAGCCTGCGGGCCCGGCCCGGGCAGCGCTTTGCATAGGTGCCCCCGGCCCGGGGAGGCTTTGAAGGCTGCGCTTTGTTGTCCCTAATCTTATCTCCCCACCTGAGCTGGAGCTGTCCTCCCACCTTTGCAATAACAGGGCTCATTCGGGCTGCCTTCTAGTTTGCATTTGCCACCTCCTGCGGCTGCCCAGGTGCAAAGAGCTGCCCAAAGAGCTGCAACCCCCGGGTCACATCTGTGCCAAGGGGGCTGGAGCCCTGCGCCCCTCGCCATGGGGCAGCGGCAGCGAGAGAGGGGCTAAGAGGGGCCAGAAGGGGAGCGCTCTGCACTGGCTTGTGCCACGGGCTTAGAGACAGAGGCGCTGAGCGGGCCGGGATGCCACCGGAGCCTGGGATGGATGCCCGGGAGCAGCAGGGAGGCAGCGCGGGTGCCTGGAGCGGAGCAGAGCCCCGGGGCAGGGATGCGGCGCTGCCTGCAGGGCTCCAGGGGGGTCTCCTGCCACCCCCTCCCCGGCCCGCGCGGGTTGGGTTACGCCGACTCAGCGGAAAGGAATGCGACGGAGGCGGCTTCAAAGGGAGCGAGCGGAGCAGGAGCTGGCGCGGGAGCCGGAGCCGCGGCGGCTCTCGCTTCCTCCGAGCCCCTCCTGCAGCCGGGGATGTGTCCGGCTCCGCACCGTCACCCCGGGGAAATTCCCGCTGGGAGCGGGCGCAGCTCCTGGCAGGGCCGGCTCGCCGGACAGGTCCCCACAGAGCATCCGCCAGGCAAAGGATCAAGCGGGATACGGGAGGCAGCTCGTTCTCCACATCCTTCCTGCTGGCAGCGGGAAGGACGGGGTTGACGGAGGCAGTTGCAACACGGCGTGGGATCTGGCAGCCGCCTTTGCATGAGTCTGGGTTCAGGAGCCAAGCGAGACGCCGACAGGGGCGGGCGCTTCCCACTGCGACCGTGCGGAGTCCAGGGGCTCCAAAAAGACGCGTTGTGGCCCAAAGACACGGGCCTGGGTGAGCAGGGAGCAGCAGCGCGGGCAGGCGAGCTCGGCCCGCCTTGCAGCTGCAGCTGCATCCTGCGCCCGCTGCAGAGCAAACTCCAGCACCATTTTGAGGAAAAGAAAGCTTTCCATTGGCTTCTAGGAAAATCCATAACCCTTTTCTTACAGGTTTCCTATGTTTTCATGGTATCTCCACACCCCAGGAGGGGACCAGCCCAGCACCCTCTCCTGCTGTGGCTGCATTTCGCCCCGTGTCGCTGCCACGAGGGGACAAAGGTGGCCGGGACAGAGGGGGCTGGGGGCAGCGGTGGGACCCCCCTGCCCACAGCCCCTCGCTGCGAGGCCCCGCGGCCTCCGCCTGCTCCTCTCCGCCCGCTCCCGGCAGCGCGGGAAGAGCCGGGGCCGACGCAGACCCCGCGCCCACAAAGGGCCTTTGTTGGAGCACGGGAGCGTCCCGCTCGGCGCCGCCCCGGGGTTCGACCGCGAGGTTGGGCTGAGCCCAAATCGAGGTTGGGCTGAGCCCGAGTCGCGGGCGCTGAGGACTCGCCCTCCACCCCGCTGCACTGGGGTGCCCATCACCCGGTGCTCCGCGAGGCCCGAGCCTCCTTGGGGACAAGTCCCCGCGGCACCGTCCTCCTGTGGCCCAATGCAGGAGGCGCCACGGGCAGCTCCCCACGTGCAGAGGGACACGGGGCCAGCGGCTGAGCCGGAGCCCGGGAGGAGGCACAAAGCCAAGCGCTGACTCGGCACCCTGGGACATCCCGGTCCCCCAGCTTGGACGGGATCCAGCTCTGAGAAGCCCAGGGACACCCAGGGCTGCCTGCACGGGGACAGCCGCTCTCCTCAGCACCAGTAAATCCCTTTGCAGAGAATATTGCAGAGAACCCCCCCGGCTGCACCCAAGGCCTGGCCGAGCGGCCCCAGGGGCATGGGAGGTGGCACAGGAGCTGGGCACCGGGAGCACCGTGGCTCCGTGTCCCTTTGCTGAGCTCTCCATGCATTTATCAGCCGCGGGGATGCGGGGCCGCCTCCCGCCGCCGGCTGTTTTCAGGCTGGCTCCTCATTAACCTTGGGACAAAGCGCCTGGGTGGCGTGTGGGACAGCGCGGCCGGGGACCAGGCTGCTGCCCCAGGCTGCAAGGGCCACGATGCAGCGGGTGGAAACGGCAGCCCCCACCCCCTGCTTCAGGATTAATTATAGGGGGGTGCAGGGGTGCAATCCCCCCTCCCGCAGCCCAGCTCGGCCGTGCAGGGTGCAGCCGGGTGCGGGTTTCACTGCATGGGGAGGGTGGGAAGCGGCTGCAGCCCCCCCTGTTCCAGCCGCTCCAGGGCTGCACCCCCTGCCCGCCGCGTTCACACCTCCCAGCTGCTCTATTTGTCTTGGCCAGGGCCTGGCCAGCCCAGACCCCTGTTGCTGGGGAGATTTCATCCCCCACCTCCCTCCTCTTCCTCCCTCCCCCCAGACATCCGGGCAGCGCCGCCGATTCGCACAAAGCTGCGGGTCCCCAGCCCGCGCTGCAGCCCCCGGCGGCCCCCGCCCCGGGCAGGGGACAAAGGGCTGTCGCAGTCCCCGACGCCGGGTGGATTTTCCCCCCCGCCGGCCGTACCCACAATTACGTTTTATTTTAAGATACTAATTTGCAGCGCCCGCTTTCCTCCCAGAAAGGGGCGGGAGAGGCAATGAAACCGCTGCAGCAAGCCGCCTGGATGCAAATGGAGGCAAAGCTGCAGCCTAGGGATATCATCTATAAAATGCATTATATATTTATATAACACCCAGCTCGGCGGGGCTCGGGCGGGCGCGGGCCGGCAGCGGGACGTGCCCGTGCGGCTCCCGCGCCCGGCGTGCAGCGACCCGCGCGCGGCTGCAGCGCGGCCCCCCGCGGCCCCCGCCGCCAGCGGCGCCCCCCGGGGCTCCGGGGGCTTCCGAGGAGCCTCTTTCCAGCAAGCGGGGGGTCTCTGCTCCCCCCAGAACCCCGCGGAAGGTGTCGGGGCGGCAGGCGGGCGGGCCGCGCTTTGTGCTCCGCGTGCCGGGCCACGCGGGCGCCCTGCACAAAGCCGGGCCCGCCGTGGAGGGAATAGCGTGGGGCGCGTTTTCCACGCGGATCCGCGCGCCCCCGGGGGCAGGGCCACGCACGGGACACCCGCAATGTCCCCGGGGGCTGGGGGCGCGGGGGGGACGTGTCAATCACGGCGCTGCTCTCGAGGGCTGCGCGGGGGGGGGCGCGCGGCGGCTTTTGTTGCGCGGGGCTCGCGAGGCGCCAGCCCCCTCCCCCCATCGCCCTGCGCCCCCTCCCCGTCCCCCGGGGACCGTCCATGGGGGGCGCCTTGGGGACCGGCCGGGGGCACCCCGGGGAGCGGGACGAGCCCGATGGGGCGGCGCTGCAGGGATGCAGGGAGCGAGGCCGGGAAGCCACGCGGCGGGGGGGATGCTGCAGGGATGGGGGGATGGAGGAGGCGCCGCCAGACGCGCACGCGGGGCTGTGCCCACGCGGGACACGGGGAGGATGGGGGGTCTCAGCCCGGGTCTGATGCCAGGGAGTGCAGGGGGGCAACATTGGAAGGATGCAGGGGGGCAATGCCGCGGGATGCAGGGATGGCGATGCCAGGGGGATGCCGGCTGGGAGGCACCCCCAGGCTGGCGATGCCGGGGGGATGCAGAGGACGCTGGAGCGGCTCGGGGGGCGGCACCGCAGAGCCCCCACGGGGGCCACCAGCCCTTACCTTGCCGGGTGGACACGTTCCTGTCGTTGCCGGCGCGCAGCACGACCTGCGGGCAGCTCTGCTCCAGGGCGAAGAGCTCGTCCTTGCCCACCTTGGCGCTCTTGCCGGCCTTGAGGGTGCCGCTGGGCCCCGAGGGCGCCAGGTAGCGGCCCTCGCCGTCGCGGAAGGCCACCTTTCCGCAGCGGAACTCGAGGGTGAAGGCGGTGCCGGGCTCGGCGGCGGGCACGAGGCGCCCGTCGCTGCGCAGCAGGCGGTGGTCGCAGCTCTGCAGGCTGTAGCGCTGCTCCACGAAGAGCAGCGTGATGAGCGCGTCCACGCCCCACGGCACGTCGCGGTCCACGGCGAGCTCGTCGCGCCGCGGGCCCAGGTGCGCGTAGCGCTTGCGGGCCAGGCTGTAGAGGTTGGCCTGCGGGTGCATGGCCAGGTGCACGCTCCACTTCTCGGCGGGCGACACGGCGGGCGCGAAGCAGCTCAGGCGGTCCTCGGTGCCGCCGAAGAAGCGCCGGTGCGGCTCCGACTGCAGCGACCAGCGCCCGTCGCCGTGGGCCACCACGAGGAAGCGGCAGTCGGGGCCCGGCTCCTCGCTGTCGCAGCTCACGCGCCCGTCCTTGTCGGCCGCCAGGTAGCGGCCCAGGTGGCTCTTGAGCAGCACGGCGCTCGAGTCCTCGCCGTCCTGCTCCAGCGTCCAGATCTGCTTCTTCTTCATGCTGGCGGCCGACGCGTTCACCTTGAAGCCGAACGCCTCGGCCGTCAGGTACTTGTTGCTGCAGTTGATGAGGCCGAACTGGATCTGCACCGGCTCCGCGGTGCCGTTCGCCGTCATGGTGCTGCCCGCGGTGCCGCTGC